TCCTCGTCAGCCTCACAGATGGATGCAAACTTTCCTTTGTCTTTTAAATTGAGAATTGCATGTTTTTAGTTATACCCTTCCAATGTGAAACCGCCAACCGTGTGTTTTTCACATCTCCGCTCACAGCTGTGAAGTTGCATCATCACATACAGGTGTAGCAGTTGGTCCTGACTACAGGCGGGTCTCTAGGAGCAGATACAGTGTCCTCCATAATAAGCCCTCTTGAAAAGCAGGATCTTCTCCTGGAGCTGGTGGGAGTGTCTTTGGAAGGAGACAGTGTATTAGAAATGGTGCTGGGGGCTGTGGGAAATCAGTACGGAATGCTCTACAGAGGTGTCTCTTCCCTGTGAGACAGTGATGCCGCATGCAGAGATGTCCAGTATATGCCATGTGGCTCTCTTCCTGCTCTTTCCAGATGTGTTACCTGACAGCGCAGCCCTGGACGAAAGGACAGCCCCAGTCCGAGGACTGCCTCCCCCATCCCCGACCCCAGAGCCCGAGCCAGGGACCAGCAAGTGGGAGCCCATCCCCAGGTACAACGGGAGTCTTCACGCTACTCCCCTGGCCCGGACGCGACTGAACCTCAGCATTGAGATCCCGTCGCCATCACAGGTACCTCTGCCCTCCCCAGTATCCTTGAGTGCTAGATGCTGTGGGCATGCCTACTTACTTGATGGGTGATGACAAGATATAAGAACATGAGAAAGGTTCCAGAGGAAGCTGTCCAGCCAGGTTTGTTAGTTGGTAGTACCCATTTCCTGAAAGAAGCTAGGGTAAAAGCTTCAACAGCATGACAGGGTAGCTTTCTCCAGATTTCCACAACCCTTTGTGTAAAGAAGTGCCTGCCTAGTTTTAAATACATGTGCACTTTCTTGTGCCCTGGTTTGGGCTTCACTGTTCATTCTGAAGACGTCTACTGGGTTGACTTTGTCAGCGTCTTTGAGGATTTGAAGTATTCGTATCAGGCCCCTGCATTGACTTCTCTGTTCAGGAAACGGTTCAGTTCCTTCATCCCGTCAGTAAAGGACGTTCCATGGAAACCCCATATTCCAGGACTAGGCTGTAAGTAAAAATCCTAATGGGCAAAGGAAAATATCCAAGTGACTGTGGGAACAGAAATGTTAAATCCTTCTGCTACCTGAGTAGAGTGTCACAGAAGATGTGAGGTCCAGGATACAAAAGGCACCAGCAGCTTTTGTCTCACTTAAGGACACTTGGGGATCCAAAGACATCTCACCAAAGTCCAGTTCTTCAACTCAGTGTAATCAGTGCTGTTATATGGTTTAGAAACATGGAGAACACTAAGAGCAACAATAAAGGCAAGTCAAACATTCAGAAATTCTTTGGCGAAGAATTCTTAAAATCGGATGGACAGATCAGGTCAGCAACACCGACTTACCAAACAGGCCCCTGTTGAAGAGGAGATTCGGAGAAGATGGTGGAGAGGAATCGGCCACCCTCCGCTGCAAACCAAGGCATCACAGGGGCCCTTACCTGGAACCCAGCAGGGAGAGGGAAAAGAGGCAGAGGTAAAGAACATGAACTGGAGAAGACAGCCCAGAACAGGGTGCGATGGAGGAAAGTTGTTGGCCTCTGCTCCGTAGGGAGCGAACCATGTAAACAAATTAAAAAGCACTTGCGTCATGGCCAGGTCATAGTGGTCAGATAGGGGGTTTCCTTGTGCAAGCAAGGGCCACAGTGGCATTGTGTTGATGGGCGAGGAAGGTGGGCTCTATTCTCCAAGCCCCTGTGTGGTTTTCAGACAGGTGCCCCCATGTCTGACGTCCAGAGCAGTGTCCTTCTAGTGCTGGTGAGACATTTTCAGCGGTAAGGAATGTATAAGATACTGCACTGGATGAGAGTTCCTCATCTTGAATTTACAACCTCAGTTTAAAGCCTGTCTATCTAGCCTCTTATGTCGGGCTGGGGTTTATTTTTGAACGGAACCGGTCCAGGAAAGAGTGATTCCATCACCTGCTTGTCCTCTGATCCTGACGGGCCCTGGCCCTGTATGCCCGCAGATCGACCGTTCGGTGCTGGAGGCGCTGCCCGCGGACATGCGGGAGCAGGTGGAGCAGACGTACCGGAGCCGCGCCGAGGAAACGCCCGGCAGCACCGTGGCAGAGCCCCAGCACCTGGGCACCCTGGTCCTGCAGATCCCGGAGCAGCTGGCACAGGGAGGTGCAGGGGGCATCATCGTGGCGCTGCCCGATTTCTCACAGGTGACCCGCTCCTCCCTGCCTTCACACGCTGATCTGGTCATGGCAGAGCTTGGCCTCCCTTGTGCTGTGGGGCTTCAGAGCGGTCCGGGAGCATAAGTCCTGCAGAACATGACTGATCCTGGACTTGGACCATGACACACAGTGCAGTCCGTACGTATTTGGACAGTGACACAATCTGTGTTGTTTCGGCTCTGTACTCCAGCGCATTGGATTTGAAATGAAACGGTGACTTTGAGGTCAAAGTGCAGAATTTCGATAATTAGGAGGTATTTACGTCTAGATTGGGTGAACCATTTAGGAATCACAGCCCTTTTTATACATAGTCCTCCCATTTTAGGGGACCAAAAGTAATTGGACAATTGGCTGCTCAGTTGTTTCTTGGCCAGCTGTGTGTCGTGGCATCATTAATTAATTACATTAATTAATGGAGAGCTAACAAAAGGTCTATAGTTGATTCTGGATGTGGCATTTGCATCTGGAGACTGTTGCTGTTGTCTCCCAACATGAGGACCAAAGAGGTGTCAATGCCAAAATTGTGTCACTGTCCAAATACTTACAGACTGCACTGTATGTTTTAAAATTGGGTTTGCATTTCCATTGTGTAACGATACTGAGGCGACTCACCTGATGTGTAGTAATGAATGAATCAGTGAATACCAGTAGCACCATTCCCGGTCTACCGGTCTCCCAGTCTCCCAGACTCCTGGGCTGCAGTGTTTGTGAAAAGAGAGCTGCTCTAGCACTAGTTGTGTCCATCCTGCTCACTATGGCACAGCAGAATCTCCTGCTGGTCAGTCCTGGGAGCTGCACCAAGAGATTTGATCTGTGAATCGGTTGTGATGCAGTCTAAAATCAAACTGTGCAAAAATGGAGATAACTCCACTGTTGTACGTGCTGTGCTGTTCCTCTTATGATAATGATAAAGTGGAAATGCCTCAATAAAACTTCTGTAGAGGTCGTGTTGTTGCACTGCTACAAGAAAAGTAATCAGTTTGCTCATTAAGAGAAGCCCTGCAGGCAGTTACTGCAGACTTCAGTAACATGTACTGTACTGTGCCCTGTGTGATGAGACCGTTAGGTCTTTGAGCACTGTGTGGGTAAACTCAGCTGCTGGCACCCTGGCTGGGTCTGACCGTGCTTGTGTGTGCGCGCGAGACAGGTGGACCCCGAGGTGTTTGCTGCGCTGCCCCCCGACCTGCAGGAGGAGCTGCAGATGGCGTATGGCCAGAGACAGACCACCACCCAGGCTGTCGCAGTGGGTAAGACACTTTCCTCTTGATACACCCAGGACGCTTCTGACTTCAGGGCCACATTCCAGAAATCTACATGAGGGCAAACCATTTCCAGCAAGCTCTTTTCTCAAAGAGACTTGAAGGTCTTGAAGGCGAACTGTGCATCAGGCACTTTTCCAGCACACTTGCTTTTTGCACATGCAAGATTATGGACAGAAGACCAGGTGGTATCGGTTATACTACCTGACCTTCCCTCTTAATACAGCTGCGGCAGCAGTCTCACCTTTCAGGCTGGTCTGCTAGGCAGTGGTGCCCAGGGGTGCTTAATACAGCTGTTGCAGGCAGTGGTGCGAGAACTGGGTCTAAGGTTAAGTGATCTGGGATCCTTCTGGGTGAGAAGCACCATGTAAAGGGCAGGAAAAGGCAGTTAAAAAATTGCAAATAATCTTTTCAGTTGCACAAAGATGATTAATGACAAAAGGAGTGTAAACAACGTGTGAAGCGTGTGTGTGCAGGTGTTTTTATGATCTGTACAGAATTAACACATCAGCCTTTTCAATCATTTATTTTTTCCTTTAACAAAACTGTTTATCTCCCATCAGAGCTACCTCTTCAGTAAGGTACACTGTGATTCAAAACTTAAATAACACATGAAGCTTGTTCGGTGCTAAATTCAGGGTCTTGTATTCTATTGATGTGCTCAGGTTGTTCAGGTTGCCCTTGTGTGCTCTTCAGTTGAAGTCTTTGACACTTGTTGAGCTGTCGGGAGGGATGTGTCACCTGTGGGCCCCTGGTTAGGGTTGCCATGAGACATGACGTCGGTTTGTTAACTGGAAAACTGAAACAAAAAATATCTATAACTAGTGATGTACAATCAGAGAGTTGTGTTTTCTAAGACTTTTATTGTCATTATTATTGCTTTGGAGGTTTTTGTGGTGAAATGCCAAGGTGCCCTGCATCTGGACACTACAGTACTTCTGAAATTGGCACCTGTGTCAGAACACAAGATGAAACACAAACGAGACGAGGGCTTTCAGCCCATGTACAGTAGTTTGTTTGGTTTATAGTACCTATTTGATCTCATCCAGCTGTTTCTTGAAAGAGACCAAGGTATCTCCGCTTCAACACTACAGTACTTCTGTGTGGAACATGCTGGGTAGCATGTTCCATACTCCCGCCACACTTTGCGTAAAGATATGCCTCGTTTGATACTTCCAACCTGGAAATCCAGAAAAGATTCATTTCGGTGCACTGCATGATAAGTATTTGATTTCTCTCTTGGTTCAGCCAGGTCAGGGGTCCATCACATCAGCACACCACCTCATTCAAATGGGAGTAAACCAATGAATAACACAAAGTGTCCAGGTTATATTTTCTAGGACCAGCAGTGGTTTCTGTGCCAGCTCCAATACCTTCTCTCAGGATCTCTAGATAAGGACCAGCTTGCAGAGAGTGAAAGGTAGAATTATCAGCTACATGTGTGTCAGGTCTTGACGCATGTCTTTTTACTACTCCGCCCCCCAGTGGCCAAGAACTCCCTCCTGCACCTGAAGCAGCCGGCGGTGAAGACCAAGAGGCGGAACAAGAAGAACCCAGCCAGCCTGGCCAAGAAGGGCCAGAGCCCCCTGAAGAGCAGGCTGCTCCACAGCCCGGCCAAAGGCAGTCCCCAGAAACTGCTCCCCGACCTGCTGAAGCACGAGAGCCCTGCCAAGGACAGGCTGAAGGTACTGCTCGAACCCCTGCAGCCTTCTGGCTTGTTCACTGCAGGGCTCCACTCCTGCGGGGGGCTGCAGGGTTCCTCCTTCCCACCCAACAAGTTGGGAAGTGGATTCATTTATTTACTGCGCTTGTCCTTGTGTTCCAGGTTTATTTGTACTAGAGCTCTGATCACGTCTGTTTAAAGACAGTCATATAAAATCTGCAGGGCTTCACCCTCTGAAGACCTGGGGTGATGAAGTTTCTGCCTCTTATTGGCAGCAATGTCCACTAATTATCACGATCACTGTTGTTAAATGGGTCACATTTTAATGATCCTGAACTCCATGTATTTCCGTTTAGCCTGGTCAAAACCAGGAGTTTTAGTTAGAGATGTCAGATATTCTCAAGCTAGTGCTCATATTTCTAAAACTCCTTACTGGTTGACCTCTGTAAGTTTGGCTCACAGAAGACAGTGCTGTTTTTAGCAGGCTCCCACCAGGTGTTAAAAGTGATTTGTTTCGCCCCTGCTAGCTGGAGTCAGGCCCGTCCACATCCTCCTTGAAGCCGGACCCCCAGGAACAGCTGTCCAAGCCGGTGGCCCGGCCGCAGCCCAGCCTGGCGGGTGCCATTGAGCTGCCGGACATCAAGGTGCTGCTGAGACAGTGGGTCACAACCATCTCAGGTACAGCGCCTCGTTGCGCAGATGATGAAAACAGAGGTGCTGTGAGGCTGGTCGAGAAATCGGTGATACTACGTCTTTACACTTGCATAGCACTTTTCTGGACACTCCACTCAAAGCGCTTTAAAGGTAATGGGGACTCCCCTCCACCACCACCAGTGTGCAGCCCCACCTGGATGATGCGACGGCAGCCATAGTGCGCCAGAACGCTCACCACACATCAGCTCTCAGTGGGGAGGAGAGCAGAGTGATGAAGCCAGTTCATAGATGGTGATTATTAGGAGGTCATGATTGGTAAGGGCATATGGGAAATTTGGCCAGGACACTGGGGTTACACCCCTGCTCTTTTCAAGAAATGCCCTGGGACCACAGAGAGTTAAGACCTCCGTTTTATGTCTCATTCGAAGGACAGCCCCTTTTTACAGGTCCATTAGGACCCACACGGACCGCACAGGGTGAGCAGTATCCTCAGCTTTTCCCAGGAGGTCTCCCATCCAGGTACTGGCCAAGCTGACATCTCTGCTGAGCTTCAGTGGGCTGCCAGCTGTGAGTTGCAGGGTGAAATGGCTGCTGGTTGTAGTACTGTAGTCATTGAGCCTTATTGTCTAATATATTAATACATACCTTAAGCTTACAGTTTGCAGAGCCTGCCTTATAAAATGTCTCTTAAGGGCACTTTTGTGTATTAAGGTGATAGAACAGGAAGGTTTAAAGAATAAAGTCAAAATTGTTCAGAGCTGGCAGGAATGGCTTTCTTTCAGTTAGCTACTCAGAAAGACCTCTTTGGCCTCTAAGTCTGCTTCAGCCAAGGTGGCCATTGAGGCCAAGAGGCTCCAGTGTTTGAGCCACTGTAGTTAATGATCGAGCAGTAAACCTGTAGCAGCTGGAGGTCTCTTAAAAAGGCAGGTGGATAGACAACAGCTCCAGCCTTCCGTTACCAGGAAGCCTCTTTTAGTGCCTGTTCTGGGAAAACCGGACTACACCCTGTGTGGCGCAGGAAGCGCTGGGAGAGCCTGGATCCCCCAGCCAGCAAGGAAGCCAGAGCACTTGAAGGAAACCGTCATGGCCACTGGCTGATCATGCAGCTCTATTCCACAAAGTGGCAGTGGGAAACAAAAAGAATCTTTGAGTGGAAAAATATTTGCACAGAACTGGAAATACAATGTTCTTGAAGATCTTTATTTCAAGCTGGATATGATATAAAGATGTTGGTGAATGTACATACAAAACTAAAGTTCATAGTTATTCTTAATTTCAATTACCTATAATAATAATTGCTTACACTTATATAGCGCTTTTCTGGACACTCCACACAAAGTGCTTTACAGCTAATAGGGACTCCCCTCCACCACCACCAATGTGCAGCATCCACCTGGATGATGTGACGGCAGCCATAGTGCACCAGAACGCTCACCACACATCAGCTATCAGTGGTCAGGAGAGCAGAGTGATGAAGCCATTTCATAGATTATTAGGAGGCCATGATTGGTAAGAGCCAATGGAAAATGTGGCCGAACCTATGCATTGTTTTAAAACAAAATGTCTTCATCCATTATTACAGGTTTCAGTGGAAATTCACACCTTTAAAACGTGCTATCTATTTGTTTCAGCCCCTTAGTGTCATTTGACTTTCACAGTTTTTTATTTTAGAAACACTAAATTTACTCCAGAAATAACAATAGAAAAATCAGACAGGAACACAGTCTCATTTTCCTGCTCGGCAAGTCCTACAGGTCCTACAGTCCTGTAGGTAACTCCGGGTTCTGCATGTAACAGGTGTGTTTGATGTGTCCAGCTCTTCCTGTACAGCAGGAAAGGAAGTGATGTCGCTGACTGCCTGTGTCATTTCCTGTTTCAGATCCAATGGAGGAAGACATACTACAGGTTGTGAAGTATTGCACTGACCTCATAGAGGACAAAGATTTGGAGAAACTAGACCTCGTCATTAAGTACATGAAAAGGTAACATGTTTATTTTCCAGAGGTGTGGTCTGCTGATTTCTGATTACTGGTTTAAGTTGTCCTGTAAAGGACTTAGAAGCATTGTGAATTTAAAGTTTTAGGCCTCATGTTAAACCTAGAACTGATACAGACAATTAAAGGAATTGGACAGTAAAGGAATTGTCAGTAGGTTCGCCTTATTAGTATATTTATATGGATTTAAATCAAAGGTTTATTATTAAAAAAAGACATTATTCAGATTGAATATTCCTAAACACTACGTTCTATAGTGGGGCCGAGGGTCCACCCAGAGGATTTTCCATCACCCCAACATCAATTCAGTATATTGTAAAACTGTTGCCGATCACGCCAAAGGAAATACAGACCCTGAAATGGAGTAAACTCTCCAGACTGTGGGGCTGAGAGGCGGGCATGACCTCTCTGGCACTGTGGGAGCGAGTCCCTGATGTTGCAGGTGGCGGTGAGTCTGTCCAGGCGGGCTGAGACGCAGTGGAAGAGCGAGGCGCTTGATGATGCTTCTTGGCCGGGAGACAGTTGATTGGTTGTAGGTGTCTTTTCACCCATACAGGTGCAGTCAAGCGTATGTTTAAGTTTGGACACGTTGCAACTCGTATTGACCCGTCAAATTTATTTTGAAACCTTCATAAAACTTCATAAAAAGTTTTATTTTGAAATCTCCACAGAACTGTAGGAAACTTTAACCGTATGAACACACATGTCCGAACAGCACAGGACAGCTGAGCATTCAAGTGAAAATTGCAGGGAGTAATGATGAGATTTTTAAAATGTTATTTCCAATCATATGCAATCTAAAACCCCAGTACCTCATTTATTACCACTGTTGTATCAGAACAGTGTAAATGGGAGATTTCCTGTGTTTTACCCTTGTAGAATCTGGGTCTCTCACTTTGAAATATTAAAGTACTTTTCACCTTTTTAAGTAAATGTATTGGCTTCGTTTTAAAATGTTGTGTGTTTAGTGGTGTGGAGAGACTTCCAGTTGCAGTCAGAAGGGCTTATTCATTCAAATCACGCCCTGCTGATGTTCAAATCCTAAAGTATTATTTAGTAATTCCTGAATGTGACCCTGGAAATACTGTTCTAAATTGGTCATTAAACCTTTTGCAGTAATTAAGCCTGAATATGCATATATATATATATCGCCAGTGAGTATCAGATTATTAAGTATCACATAAATCAACTAATGTGAAGTCATTCTGGTCAGTATTTCAGAATGAACAAGTTATTTCATTGGTATTAAGTGGTATTAAGTGAATGGCAATGTATTTCCTTTTTTACACCCTTGTAATACCTTGCAGCAAAATAGATTTTGTAACGTTTTAACAATTCTTTATCCCATAGGAGCCCAACTCCAGTCCTCAAGTGTCACTGTCCAGCTGCAGTCTGTTTAAATGTCCAGCTTGTTAAAAACAAGGAGGGACTTCAGCTTGTCCAGTTAAGCAGATAACGAGTCCAGATTGGCAATTGCGGGCTCAGAAGGAGAGAGACAGAAACCTTCTGACTCTCCAGTACTGGAGTTGCCCCCTATTTACTGTTCATTCAAAGGACAGCTTCAAGCAGAACCTCTGTTTCCTTTCCAGGCTAATGCAGCAGTCCGTGGACTCCGTGTGGAATATGGCGTTTGATTTCATCCTGGACAATGTTCAGGTCGTTGTTCAGCAGATCTATGGCAGCACACTAAAGATCTCGTAGGAAATTCTGTACCATACTTGTAAAGAAAAGGGAATTGAGAGCCTGGAGCTCATTCTCTTTGCTGTGCCATAAATGCTTGTGAAGTATTTGCAAATAGCATGGTAGTAATTCTCTTTGAAAAATGTTTTATATTGAAAATAAAGGTGTTTTGTAAATTTTTTCTTTTGCAAAAGTGCCAAATTTGTCAGTATTGCATGTAAATAATGAATCAATCCTTCTCTTGTAGCATAGATCCTATTTACAAAATGGTTGTTTATAAAGTTTTATGGATTTTTACAGTGCAGTGTTTACAGCTGTTTAATAAAGAACTGTATGTATGTTTTTCATCAGCACTCTTATTTTGCAACAGCGCTCTAAATTGCCAAGCTGTCTCGGTTTATCATTTACTGAAATCGAAGGAAGAGCTGCTTAAAAGTTATTCTCAAAAAATGGTTATGCTGAAGCAAAACTGCCATGTTAAAAAATGTTCAGTGCCCTGTCTGTACCGAGACTGTAAAATGCTAATGAATGCAAAGACCTTGTGCTGTATAATTGGGAGGGAAAAATGACTAACTGTAGCAATTTGTCACGTTTTAGGAGGATGTGTCTTTTTAAATAATGAGCTTGGCATACAGCCATATCCGCTGGTCTGTATGCTAGACTCATTATTCAAATAATGAGACTGCAGTCTTACTGAAGACAGAAGCGATGTACGGAGAATTATAATCCACAGCGGAGACACTGTGTGGAGGAGCTGGAATGTAGTCACCGGTAACTGAGCTTTTGAATTGGGCAGTTTCAAGAAGACCTAGATGTTGGCTCCTTCACTTTCTCATACAGCTCTCGCACAATGCGTGCTCTAACACTGCCACCTCAAACCCTGGAGCTACCCCATCCAGCAGCTTTTGTGGGTCAACGTTAAAATGACCCATTTCTAGATCAGGAAATGGTTGATTCTATTGCAGTCAATTACACAGGTAATCCCTATGGTGACGCTGCCTGTGCTGTGTTAAACCTGACTGGCTGGAAGGCCAGTGAGAGAAGACATCCGCCTCCACTTCCTCATTCTTCCCTCCATGGAGCAGTGAGTGAACCGCAGCACAATCACGTTTGGGGAAAAACACCCACCAACACTTGATGTTAGCAAAGACTGATGAGTATGAGGGAAGCTGACAGGTAAAAAAACAAAGCAACCAACTTCAGAATCTATAGTGAGTGGAGGAGCAGAGTCAATGAAGTGGCCACATTATAGAATAGGAGACTGCATGGCTAAGGGTCATACCATGTGCTAACCCCCAGGCCTGTTCTTTTCAGTTCCTACTGTATTTACCGGAACTCTCTCAAGCTGTTTAACTGTGCCATTGCCATTTCATGCCCTACTCTCTTCTGTTAGCTCTCAGAAGTGAATCAAAGCTGGCTTGGAGACAGGCCTGTGATGTGTAACCTTCAAGGAAAACCAGGTAACTGCTATCAGTGGTGCTGGTGGACCAGTAGGTGGCGCACTTTGGTCTGGACCAGAATAATTAAAGCACTGCCCTTTTGAAAGTGCCATCCTTCAGATGACAGGTTGAATTTAGATTATAACTACATGGTCATGGAATATCCCACAATGCTGTGTGTAAGAGTAGGGATATTAACCCCACTTTCCTGGATTAACTTGACTTGGAGTAATTAGGGCCTCTCCAAAGTTCTCCTTTATAATTATAATAGCTAATTTCTCCCACTTCTCTACCTCACCTATTGTGTAGTAGGACTGACTGACTCATCATCACCCATCTTAAATGTGAAGTGTAAAGAATCTTTGGCTTTACCTTACTTTAAACATACCTGAAATTAAGTGCTGAAAACAAAGTAATGAGACGGGACAATTCTCAGTCTTAACCCTCTTTATAGATTTGGTGCATTGCTGCATTGCAGAGGAAAATGGGATATTGCTTTGACTGAGGCTGTAATGTCACTTCTACGGTAACAGTGATACCCTTGCGAGCGTCTTTAGGACATTTTAATAGGAAATGATTATGGCACCGGCTTGAGGATTCCATGCTGTAAGTATGACGAGTGTGGAAGAAGGAATGACCAATGCAGTCATCGATCCACCGTTCCTCCAGGACTTGCTGCTACTAAAATTGTGCTCTAGGATGAATTTTATAAGAAAGGAGTACAGAGTATTTTGCACAGCTGGCGCCGTCATATAAGAGCACTACAGCTGCTTTTAAGCAGGTTTCTTAAGTACCTTGTAAACTAAGAGAACTAAGACAACTGGCTGGTAGGTACAGCAGGATAAGCCACAAGAGTACAACTTGCTCTTTATTTCTCTTTAATTGATTACAATCTGGATTTCGTTCTCCGTTTACCAACAGCTGTACAAGCACATAAAAGGCTGCAGAGTTGTGCATCTTTTATAAATACATAATTTGGACATTTCAAAAATGGCGTTGGGAATGCCTTTTCCTTCTAGTTAATCCTCTATAAAAATTCTCTAGGCACTGGCCAGGACGTGACGGGACAGGGAAGGAGGAGGTAAGAGCAGATGGGGATTTAAAAAAAAAAAAACAATTATTCAGAACTAAAGAGAACGGCATTTCAAAACCTAGAAATCTGAAACACTGGAAGTTCATCTCAAACGTCAAGAACTCTGACGAGTTTCAAATCCCCGTCTGTCCCTCTGTTCCTCCCCTGCTCCGTAGAGAAATCCAGGGGAACTGCAAGGGGTGTCTTAAAAACAGCAGCCAGGTGAGGAAGAAAAATCAAAACGACAACAACAGGCACGCTGGAATTGTGTGTATGCTGTAAAACTGTCACTGTCAAAACAGTGGGAATAGTTTGGTTTCTCACAGAAAACAGTTCTTTTTCCCCAAGTGTCATGCTCCCAGCTGCGTGGCGCACCCACCACTGTGCTGGAGCCCCAGTCGGTCTCTCTCTCTCTCTGCGTCTCTGCCCTCTTCAGATGATCTCGAAGGTCTTCTTCAGCTCCATAATGAGCTGCCAGTCGGATTTCTGCATCTCGTCCCTAAACCAGTCCTTCAAGGCATCGATGGACTGCCGCGTTATCTGGTGGGAGGGGCAGGAAAAAATCATTGATTTGCGCCTCTGGTCAGGGCCGGACACAGGGGCGCTAGTCAAGATCTTGGAAAAGGGCTCCTCCAGATCCAGATTTGCACATAACACTACTATTATCAGCTCCCAACACAACCTTATTATACCACTTAGAACAATTAATTACAACATTAGAAACTTAATAAACTGCTTTGAAGAACACATGATAAATAAGTTACAAACAAGAAGTACACATCTTACAAGGATAACGTATTTTAACATTAAAAGTAATAAATGGGAACATTAATGGTAATGGTAATGATGAACAGAATCTGTTACTTCAAAATATAGCAAATCATAACTTACAAATTACTGCACTGAAACCTTTAAGGAATTACAGGAATAAATATGCAATTAAATATGAAATAACTGCACTCAACAGCAAGGGACGTAAGATCAGTAAAGCTGAGCAGATGGGAAAGTTTTATAAAAAATGTTCTAGAAATCAATTTGCCTAGATTTTCGGGAGGCAAAATCATCAATTATGTCTTTATAGGACAGCTGTCGACAGACTGCGTGATTGATGCTCATGATGGCCGGTCTCCACTGAGACGGTCTAGTGCCATGGTAATGAAATGCTTTGGAAAGCTCCACTGAGCTCCTGCAACCCAAAGGGCTACAGGTTGGGTTTAAAATATTCCCATTTAATGAAACACAGGAGAAACCAGAAGGGGAAATAAATGTATTTTAATGCCAATTATGTGTAATTGCTGAACAGTGTTCTGTACTGTACATTAGCTTTCACGCTTCTGTCTGGCGGGGCAGCTCTGATTTTTAGCCAGGCAACCTACACAGCATGTTTACAATTGTGGAAAACGTGAATCTGTTAACTTGGTAAAACACCTCAAGTAGTCTACGTGTCTAGCTTGTGGCTCGTCTACCATTCGGCAGCTACGTGGATCTGACAGACTCGAAACCAAATGAAAAATCAGTGGCTTGATTAGGCGTACCTATGTTTTGAGATTGCTTATCCCATTCTTCTTTTTGGAGCTTCAGAAACATATTACGTACTCAATTATGATTGGCCATTTTATGACTGGGCTTCCATTAGGATAATCAACAGCAGCAACAAAGAGCCACTACAGGGAATGTTTGGCTCACACTTCGATGTGCCGATTAAAAATATACTGTATGTGGAGGGGGCCCTGAGTTGCAGTCTCCGAGTTTGCCTTTGCCCAGGGCCGGCCCTGCCTCTTGCACTCCGAACATCACCCTTTGTGAAATCGCTAAAAAAAAAAATCAAAAGTCAGCTCCAGCTACTTCCTTTATGAGAAGACACAAAATTTGAAAGCTTTACAAGATTAACTCGCAGAGCTGTAAACTACTGCCTTCGTGTTTTCTAAAAGGAGACCGGCAGTAAATGTGGGAGCTGTATGACCCTGCTCCCACCTCTTCACACCTATAACCTTCTCTCCCACTGGGCAAAACCTGGAGGGTGGGGATGGTGGTTTGAGCCTCATCACAGGCTGAGGGGGAGTTATCTTTGACTGTACCTTGCTGACAATGAAGTCTGTCGCTTCAAAGTGGCGTCCGTACATCTTGGGCGACTCTCCAGGGATGGGCTCTATTTTCACACAGATCTCCTGCCCTTTCTTGGCAACGTCCACAGGCTTGTGGTTGATTTCAATACTGGTGACAATCCCAATGTCTACAAACTGCAAGAGAAGGCAATTCAGAGGTAAGACAGGTCCCCACTTCTTTCAGTGAATGTTCAATCACCTGCACCGTCCCTGGGTGCCCTCAGACTCTGCATGCTGATCAGAAAGAGCTGATTACAATGGAATACACAGCGTTTCATCACTGTTAACTATCTACAATATAAAGGAAGAAAGATTACACAATTCACTTTTTCCCCCACTGCTATAGTGAACAAATTACACTGCCTTAAAATGAAACAAATAGTTTCTGCATTCAGTCTTGTTGTCTACTAGAGCATTTTACTGTAATCCACTTGAATAATTTGCTTAAGAGCAAGAAACTTTACATTGTATAAAATTATTAAATTCTTAATTCACACTCCAAGGAGTGACTGCAGCAACCTCATTTTCAATTTGAGCCAGACAGGGCTTGTGACCAAAGAATGATGCATCAGAAACTCCCTGTGTAAATGTCAGTAAAAGGACTTAAATCAGATGCTTCGCACTGAAAAGGGACTGGATTCTAACTACACAGCGCAGCTCAGTCAGTGACCTAGCTAGACAAGGCTCTTCTCTCGGCTCTGTTGTAAACTGCTGTGACAGGACTCCACTCACCGATTTGCTTGGCACACAGACCGGAGTCCCCTGCCGTACCACCCCAGCTTCTACGGTCACCCCCATAACTATGGGATCCCTAGAATTAAAGATGAACTGAGGCAGGATCCGGAGCTTGCAGGGAAAAACAGCAATGTGCCTGGAATTAAAACACAGGAAGACGAACACAGTTAGCATTCAGTTTTTAAAGAGCTAACTTCATTTGTTACATACAGTACTTTCCTGATATGGGATAATGCCATCGAGTTTTGCAAGTTCCTAAAAAAAAGTAGTAAAAAAAGACCAGAACTAGACAGCCTTCCTTACATTTCCACCAGTATAACTGGCCCTTCTTTACACAAGGGTTGTGGGTGCATGAAATGACATGTCAAGTCATGTTGTGAATTAATATAATTTGTTTCCCTGGGAATCCTCAATCAGCAAGCAACTGTGAAGATGATGAGCAAGATGGGCCAAACACCCTTGTCTCACTTTTCACCTTTCTTATAAATCTTATAAAAAGATGATGTTTCTTAATCCACATGATCAGATTGTTTTTTAACTTCTTCCTGCTCCAGTTCACACGGATTTCCTTCAGAGCACCAGGTGATCACAATCCAGTTGTCCTTTGGAATGTGTCCAGAGCTTGAGATGAAGCAGTGAGGGGAACTGTCCTGCATCAGGGGAGCTGTATCACCAAGACCCGAGAGAGAGTGCTGGCGGACTGACTCTTTGGCCTTTGTGGCACAGGCGCTTGGGGAATCCCAGTCGCAGTCGGCCAGTGACATGACCCGAGACTCGAACCTTTGATCAGCGAGCTCAACCCGTACCTGGGTGAGCGCTTTCACTGGATGGATACCCCAAGAGTAATTTCTTAACTTCTTGTTCCCAATAAGCAGAGGAGCGGCAGTCTTCCACTCTGGGTCTTTTGTGACAGAGAGCACAGGTTTCCAGGACTGCAAGGGCACTGCTCTTTCAGTGGAACTTACTTGAACTCGTCTTGTTTCTGTTTCTTGTAGTCCTCCCTGTATTTCGTGAAGGCATCGAATAAGTGGTAGATAATTTCGGCGCTGAAGATGCGAACCCCTAAGCTGTCGGCAAGCTCCTGGGAGTCTCGTTCCACCTTCACGTCGAAAGCCAGGATCACAGCGTACCTGTAACACAGAGCCAGACCTGAGCCTGCAGGGGAGGTATTATCTGCGACGCAACACGCTGCCCCCTCTTCCACAGAGGAAACACTACAGCATTTCACTTTCTTACCATTTGGGAAACTTTAAATTTGGCAGGTCCTGCCATCTTTGGCAAAGCGTTACACCGAGTGTGTCAACGCCCTACAAAGGCTCAGCCATTTAATGCTAACTGTAACAGTAGTGGTCCAAAAACATTTCCAGCCCAGAACTGTGTACTCACTGAGGATCATGCTCCAACATAGTCGATGCTTTCATGACGTCCTTCTTGTGGACAGGGCCAATGTTAATTCCAGCATACTGTAAAAACAAAGACAAGCCATCTCAAGCAGCAGTGACACCCAAACAGTAAAATAACAACAGATGTTCGAGCAGGGAGCTGCAAAGGAACAAGCAGATGTTAAATCCAACTCGGTGGAGTAAAATGCACCTTCACACACCTGAGAGAGGCTCCACAGCCTAAAGATTACGTTTCTTTTCCTTTCTTTTTACTCTCCAGTCCGGGACTGACCTCTCTTGTTCCTTGGTAACAGCACCTACTTCACAATGTCGAGTCAAGAGAGCGGAAACACCACGGACTGGCACTGCATTCAGACAGAGAGGAGGAGATGTTCGGTGATGGGATGAAGTCCATACCGGACTCCAGTGCAGAAGTGGATGACCTAAAATGTTGGGAGGGCCTCAATCCTGGTCTTGGGGGACCTCTGTGGGACCCATGGGGTACCCCCATTTCTTCCGGTGTTTGTTCCAGCCAAGTTCCTAATTACCGGCTATTACATGCTATTGTTCTATTTGAAGTACAGGCATCATTCCATACAAATGTGCGAGTCTTAGAACTCCCCTCATTCAGGCGTCAGCTGAAGAGCAGCCAACAGGATCTCCGGAGAAGGAGTCACTCCTACCCGTGTCTAATCATCATCAACTGATCATCTAGCGCTGCATAAAGAGAAATAAGACCCCAAACCTGTAATAATCAAATTGAGGACTACATAGTCATCTGCATGTTGAAACTACTGGAAAAATAAACTTCAAAGTAAACAAAAGTCTAAGCAAGCATGTAGCCCTATAAGAAACTAAAAAAAGATTACCAGCTCTGCTGGAAAGAAGACCAGCAAAGACTGGGCTGTGAAGCAGTGGTCCAGTGACTCACAGTCTAGAGTTTATTTCAGTGAGCGCAGGGTTACGTGCACCGAGATTACAGGACTTTCCCCCCACCAATGCAACCCCCGTGCCACTGCAGGGCTGCCTCGGCAAAGCTGGTACCCATCACAGCAGAATATGCAGCTAGGGTGGACTGAGGCAAGGGGGCATCAAGAGCCTGGCTCAAGGGCAGAGCAGCCACGTCCGCAGTCAGGACTAGAGAGCCGCACCTGTCTCAGCAGAGGGTTACAGATTTTCTTTCAAAGGAAAAGAAGAATGTTTCTTCAGAGGTGGATTCTATGACACAAAGAAGGGCGAGGGGAGTGATGCAGCTCGCAGATCATTTTCTCATTGGAAAGAGCGTTTCGGTGCCAGGGCAGTCACTGTTTGTGCATTGTTCCTCTGAAACCCTAACGGATAACTCGTCAGTACTGTTTAGATCACATAAAAATTACTAACCGTAACACCGGTACAGTTGGGTACCAGTTGTACTTCATAAAAAATGGCTACAGGCAAGTTTTGTGAAGACAGGGACATTCTGCATCTTTAACGGTAACAATTTCTCTCTTAGTTTGACTTGTTTTGTTTTTTTACAATGTGCTTCAGTACCAGCAGTGGAGGATGCAGAAGGTACACAACAGATGTTGTTTCAGAAATACTCTCCCCTTCAGATCAATGCGTTATGGTCGCCTCATCATGGGCAAGCCCAATCCACACATAACACTACGCTCCTCATGCTGGTCCCAGGTGAGTGTGCGTGACAACTGTACCTGCTTTATAAACGGCAATGGATTTATGTAAGATTTAGCTAGCTTTCAGTTTCAGTATTTTCTACATTTCTCACCATGCACCTTGCCTGTGGAGGTCTGGTAGGGCTTCAAGGCAGCGTTAGCAGATGAGGGCCCCTCTCTCTGGGCTTAGCAAGGCGGTACTTACTGGCACTTTGGAGGTGCGGAGGAACTCCAGCAGGGCCTCCAGGGAGCCCAGGGTGGAGGCCTGAACGTACACACCCTTCTCCTCCAGCTTGATGGAGCTGAGCGTCTGTTTCAGCTCGCGGACCAGCTCGTCCTAGAGCAAGAGGAGAACCGCTCTGAGTTCGGGCTCGAAGTGCGTGTGAACAGGAGAGTGAACGAGTGTGAGAGTGAAAGGGAATGAGAGACTGAGTGTTAGTGGGTGTGTGCTAGTGAAAAAGAGGGAGTGGGTGAATGAGTGAGTGTGAGAGTGAAAGTCTGAGTGAATGAGTCTGTGAGTGAATGTGTGTGGGGGGAATCCTTTTTCAATCAGCCCTTAACCTCTCGTATCACAAAGCAGCAGAGGGCAGTAACAATTAAATTGAACAAACCTGGTCACTGGAGACGTTTACTACAGCACCTCCTACAGCCTCTAAACTGGTAGCTGGAATTACCAGTGACCCGGTGATGTTCGGGGGGTTATCAGATACAAGGGTATAAGGAACTTTGTGCAGCTTTCTCGTGTACATTACATCTCATGTAATGGGAAGAAGTCAGCCATCTTAATGTACATGCCACACAGAGAGAAAGGAGTGTGAATCGCAGCGCTGGCCTGGCAGAGCCGCCGGTCTGGCTACTTAAATGGGTGGAAGGTTGCATTAATTCAGACCAAATTCTGATTCCTAACTCTAACCTTCCCAAAACATAGCTAGGGTTAGGGTTAGAATTATTTGAAAACATAGAGGATGTTTGATGGCATGGTTGTGTTTTAGGATAGAAGGGATCTTTAGGAAAACTGATATTTCAATGTTATCTTCACCTTTTTTTAATTGCCTATATGGCTCTATACACTGCATAGCCCTACATGGGAATGTTGTCTAAATTGCCCGAAAAGCAAAAGTTTGAAAGAAAGTGGTTAAACTCTTCAAATCGTTGCATTTGGCATTGAATGCACTGGCATTTCATTCATTTGGAAGGCCTACCCTGAGCACCGGGATCTCGTCCTCCCTGTGGGCGACGAGCAGGGGGAGGCCGGCCAGGGTCTTCTCCAGGTCCTTCCCCAGGATCTTCACCCCCTGGGCTGTGGACACCTCTTTGTGCTTCTCGTACTGGTTCTGCAAGAGCAGGGAACACACAGGGCAGGCTCCGTCAGACAGGGCGCCTCATTCTCCGGCAGGCGGGACAGGACGGGATGCGCTTCTTTCAGCAGGCCGCCGCCCTGAGCTCTACACATCTATCTGCATCTTCAACAGCCAGAACCAACACATGGTCTTAAACACTGGATCGCAAGAGCAGAGCAAAAATGTTGCTCTTTTATTATAAGGTAGGCTGTTCAAACAGTTGTTACAAGAACACAAGAAAGGTTACAAATGAGAGGTGGACATTCAGCCCACTCAGTTTCCTTAGTAGTTAGCAGCATACTGATCTAAAGATCTCATCTAGCCATTTCTTGAAACAAAGCAGGGTATCAACAACATAGCTGGGCAGCTTGTTCTGTTCTCCAACCACCCTTTGTGTAAAGAATTGTCTCCTGTTCTCAGTTTTATATGCACATATTTTCCAGAGTTCTATCAATAAAACCAGATTAAGCTATATTAATAATTTTGGTTGTATTTGTAAATATTTTTCTGCAGTTATATTAATAGGCACATCAGAATTGAGAGCTGTTGAGAGAGGGCAGCTGACAGTGACGCTCTCTATTGTCCGTGCCGGGTCAGGGTCCTAATTCAAAGAACCTGTGGCTCCGTTTCCAGGTCCTAATTCAAAGAACGTGTGGCTCCGTTATATAAAAATTAACTGCAGCTACTGCTTGCCTTGACTCGCAGCTCTTTGAGTGGCGGGGGCAGCAGGAGCCCTCTGATCTGGGTGACGATGGGCCCCTCCACCCCGGGCACGATGATGGTCTCGCCCTCCCGCAGGCAGCCGTTGATCAGGATGACGTCAATGGTGGTGCCCATGCCCGGCAGAGCCTTCACCTGCGAGCGACAGAGACGGGGTCAGGGGATGGGCGGAGAGGAGAGCCCTGCAGGGCGGGCCCCTCGCTCCCGCTGGCCTGCCGGTACGAGGGTTAGCCCCCACTCACCTCCATGACCTGCGCGCGGAGCTCGTCGGAGTGCGCCAGCCTGCGGGTCAGCAGGGTCTGGGTCAGCTCCACCAGCAGGCCGATCAGGTTGCCCATCCCGTCTCCCGTGTGGGCGGAGGTGGGCACCAGTGACACAAAGGTGCGCGGGTCCTTGTTCTCATGGAAGAGGGTGGCATTCAGGCCCTGCAGCAGGTATTCCTCATTAAGGCACACTGTCTTGGACTGCCTGCGCTCGAGCCATCAGAATCTTTACGCCTCTGCTGTGTACCAGGCCTGCCCCCAGCAGAACTAGGGTTACATTCAATTTCAAGATTTTTTCCTTGACAATCTAGCAAAGCACTATTTCATATATAATGCCAGAGGTTGAACAGCTTTGACTGACTCTTGCACTACAAAAGTGACTGACTGCACATTTAATGTTTGTCATCATTTCCACCTCTTCACATTTTCTATCCAGAAAACAGTGATTTTGTAAAACCCTGTGTTCCACAACTCTTATTAAGAGATATTTGAGGGTAATCATTCCAAAGCTGTGTTTAAATACAAGAAAATGACATACGTCAGTATGATTTCTAATTTAATGCCGGTGGTATTAGACTTATACCTACACTGGGGTGGAGGGTTAGCAGAGAAACTTGAGTCCAATTCACTTCATGGTTCAAATGGTAAAACAAGTAAATGAACTCAGGAGCTCCCTCGTGACACAAATCACCTAAAACACGTTTCCAGGCACCGAACCTGCTGAGCAAACTCCACGATGACAGCCTTGGCCCTCTCGTCAAACTCGTCCTTCGTGTTCTTCTTCTGCTTCTTCAGCGTGGTCACCACGTCCGTCTCCGGGCTCTTCCTCCAGTCGTACAGCCGGTCAATCTGAAAGGCAGAGACGGAGAGCCCAGCCCGTCACTTGAGGGCCGGTTCAGGACAGGCCCTGGGCCTCTCCTGAGGATTCGCAACGGGAGGATTTCATTTTCCTCCACTGATCGCGTCAAACGTTTGGCCTTCGCTTTCGTTTTTGTTTGCCTTAGCTAGAAAACGTGTGATGATTAAAACCAGATTTTGTTTGCAATTCAAATGACCCTTTTTCTTTTCATTCCTCTACAACTTGACAAATCCACATTTTTACCAACCCTTCAAATCTTAGCTATAACTCCCATTACTAGCAGGGACAACATAAAACATCATTCCACCTGTACGCTGTCACATCTATGAAAAAGAGAATGGAAGGCAGTTCTGTACACTAAGCATTGTGGGAGTCTGGAACAAGCCACCCAGCCATATTGTTGAAGCCGATTCCCTTCCTTCAAGACCTTTGTTTCAATCCAAACGAGTTACATGGGCTGAAAGGGCTCCTATTGTTTTCAGATAGTCTTACATCCTGTTTGCATTTCCTTACACACTGAACTCATAGAGCAACGCCCACTGTCAGAACTGAGAGACCACCCCTAACGGGTGCTGTCAGACGCAAGGCAAGGACACCCTGCCAGTCTACAAACCCAACTCGGACATCTCATCAGTCAACAGAGTACCATTGCGTTGGTACTTCCACTGACAGCCAACAGACCACACACCATATAGCCTTCTCTGTCCTGGGATGAGCCACTAAGGAATTCCTCAGAATGTAGGTTTGACCAGCATGATGGGTTTATTAACTTTCAATATCATATGTGCATGTTTTTTTTTGGATTGTTATGGTTTTGCACATTTTATCAAGTGTTAATGTGCACACATACAGTACGTAGATTTCCTGCAGTGTGCAGAGGCACTTCACTTAACTACATATGTGAGACAACCTGATATGTGAAACCGCTGCTATACAGTTAATGAGGGCAGCAGAGCAGAGTCAGTGGTGAGATCTCTGGGGGCTGTGGGTTCGAACTCCAGTTGACTGCTGGGTTTGAAAATCACTAAAAAGCATCTTTAAAATGAATACTGTTTTGCTCTTTTCACTTTTGCTCATGTGTAGACATGACATGCTAAAGAGTTATACTGTGCAAGTCCCATATCATCCTGCAACTCATAACTGGCAACCCACTGAAGCTAAGCAGGTGTGAGCCTGGTCAGTACCTGGATGGGAGACCTCCTGGGAAAAACTAAGGTTGCTGCTGGAAGAGGTGTTAGTGGGGCCAGCAGGGGGTGCTCACCCTGCGGTCCATGTGGGTCCTAATGCCCCAGTATAGTGACGGGGACACTATACTGTAAAACAGGCACCATCCTTTGGATGAGACATAAAACCGAGGTCCTGACTCTCTGTGGTCATTAAAAATTCCCAGGGGGTTCTTGAAAAGAGTAGGGGTGCAACCCCTGCGTCCTGGCCAAATTTCCCATTGGCCCTTACCAATCATGGCCTCCTAATAATCCCCATCTATGAATTGGCTTCATTACTCTGCTCTCCTCCCCACTGAGAGCTGATGTGTGGTGAGTGTTCTGGCGCACTATGGCTGCCATCGCATCATCCAGGTGGGGGTTCACCTTGGTGGTGGTGGAGCGGGGTCCCCATTACCTGTAAAGCACTTTGAGTGGAGTGTCCAGAAAAGCGCTATATAAGTGTAAGCAATTATTATTATTATAAGTCATTTAAAACTGCTACATTAATAAAACAGCGAACATTTGCTTGTAGTTCGTCTCACTCAAGAGGTGTGGGAAAGCACTGACAGGATAAAGGTTTTGTCCAATTGTTTAAAACTTGTCTGTAACTTTTTCTTTCTAGACCTCTGGTTTGGACCAGTCAGTGTAGTTCCCAGAACAGAAGAGGTTTTTTTTTTTTAAACGATGTGAAAATCAGGTGACTATTTTTAAAATTAAACAATAGGAGGTGTCTGACCCAAAAACCGGCAGTAGGTTTAGAAGATGGAAGCAGAGAAGAGCTGGATTAGAGTACAATGTACAGCCGTGTGTACAACAGTGTGACATCTCAAACAGGTGCCAGAGCCACCCACCTTATTAAGTGCAACAATAAAGGGGCATTTCTTCTCCTTCAGCAGGTTGATGGACTCCAGGGTCTGCGGCTCCAGGCCATGCATGATGTCGACGACCAGGATGGCGATGTCGCACAGAGAGCTCCCTCTGTTCCTCAGGTTACTGGAACGAAAACGGCAGCAAACATGGACAAACCTGCAGCTTCACCGCCAAAGTCACATTTTCTGTGGCCAGACAATCAGGGCACCCCCATGCTCCCCCAGCACAAACATCAGCCATCCCTACAATACTGCTGCACCACAAGGCTCTGGCACAAGTGACACACACCAGCAAGTCAGGTCCCGCAAATAAGGGGAGATGCAGTTTATTCACAGAGCTGGCAAGAAGGCAAATACATGAGTTGTGACTTAGTTTAAAGCTTGGCGTTTTGTGCAACTTGGTGTTGTATTATATGCTGGCCCAAGCTCCTCTTTTATGGTGGTTTTAATCTGAAAGGATACACTACTTATATGAAGTTCCTCAGCACTTGCAATTTATACTTGACACCTACAGTACAAACAACTATTGCAAGTATCAACCTTTGCAATTCATTTTCAGTCGCAACCTTTTCAATTTCATGATCAGATATTCCACAATATAAACAGGACATGCAGAAAAGACTGAGACAATGGGAGATGAACAACACCGAGACGGAACACTGCCCAGATGAGACACTACTCTGGTCATGCTTGAATTAATATGCATACTCGGAAATTGGCTTCAACCACATGCCTGGGCAGCTTGTTCCATACTCCCACCACCCTTTGCGTAAAGAAAGGCCTGCTGTTATGAGTTTTGAATGCACTTCTACACCGTTTCCACTTGCGTCATCCACTTGTGTATCATTGTTCTGAAGAAATGCACTGGGATGGATGACTCCGTCAGTGCCTTTCAGGATTCTGAATACTAGAATTAGGTCTCCTCAATCTTCTCTGTTCAATACCAAAAAGGTTAAGATGTTTCAGCCTGTCAGTGTAGGACACTCTGTTATTTTCTAATTAAGAGCAATGAAATCTTACCTGAAAGACTCGTGTCCTGGTGTATCAATGATCAGCATTCCTGGGATCTTGATATTCTCTCTGTCAAACTAAAACAATTTGTGCAAAATTATTCTATTACCTAGGCCATCCTTATATCATCCCTTGACAAAGATCCTATACTCTATGAACAGCATAGTAACAGTGTATCAATGCTCTGCCAGGTCTGCAAAACTTCAAATTCAATAAATAAAGTTTAACATTCAGAATGTGTTGTATAAAATTCAACACAGAAGTCATCAATGCACTGTGAATTTTACAAGCTCATACAAGCCCAGGTTCTCCATACATTGTTAGGCCCAAAAGCCAACTATGTGCAACTATTGATTGAAAAGTTAAAATGAATGTTGCTTTATGTGAAATTGTCAATACAAGAACAATGAATTTACTGTTAAAGCATAAAGGCTCTGCAGCAACTCCATAAAGGTTTAGTTTCATAAATATCAACCATTACAAATCTATCAACCTCATAGTTTGTACCCTTCAGATCTCAACATTCTGCATGCGTCATGCAAAGTGAAGAAGCAAGTCAGAGTTTAGGCTTTTCAAGTGACAATGTGTTACAATAATCCACGACTGGGACGATTTTGTTCCTTCCAGCAGCACATTTCATATATTCATACTTCATTCCCTGGTCACATATTCATGACTGGAGATATACTCACGTTTTTCACCATCTTCGTCTGCTCCACAATGGTTTCCAATGGAACATTGGTGGCACCAATCTGCTGAGTGATGCCACCTGCTTCACTGTCCTGCACATGTGTGTGTCGCAGCTGTCAGAGAGGACAAGGGAGATGAGCGCAGTATCCACAGGGACTAACAGCTGGGAGAGAGGAGGACAGTATCCACAGGGACTAACAGCTGGGAGAGAGGAGGACAGTATCCACAGGGACTAACAGCTGGGAGAGAGGAGCGCAGTATCCACACAGAAATGCCTTAGGGCTGGCAAATGTAACTATAACAGTGGGTGACAGTAAAGGTTATCTGTTTCAAAAGCACCACTGCAAAGGCACATCAGCCTGTGTAAATCAACTTCAGCTATGCAACAACGTTGAGAAAAGATAGGCATTCATTTTCAAGTGACCTCTGGGTGGATTTTTTAGTCCTGACAGATAAAACGGGCTGTAGGAGGACCCTGCAATGAAAATAATTACGCTGAGGGTCAAACAGCTGAAAACAGTTTTAGACTTGGTGCCTCATCGAAGTCGACACAGGTACATTAAGGAAACATTGATCGCCTGCCATTCTCTGGAGAAACATGTACCTTATCCAGAATCTTGGTTTTTCCAGTGTCTACATGGCCCAGCACACAGATGACTGGGGATCGGAGTTTCTCCATATTGATATTCCTCAGGTTTTCTGCCCGTCGTTTCTAAAAAGAAAAGAAAAACAAATTGAGACAAACACGTTGGGCACACAAATAACATCAGAATTTCTTCACAATACAAAGTCTGGTCCCTCAAGCCTACTTTCATTTACGAGCCCATTTAAAACTATACTCCAGTTTTGATTTCTTTGGGTAGAATGTAAAGGTGTCCCATTCTCCAAAGAGCAGCTAACGCTGTTAAGAAACCTTGACATCTTCTACCCTTTAGCTCCTCTGTGATAAGCAAATATCAGAGATTATTAAGGGTTACAAAGAAATTTAGAAATTACAGTTAGAGAGTCAAACAAAAAACTGGATGCCAGAGCTTGTTTTACCTAATCACTTGTGTGTTATGTGTGCTAGCCTGGGCTTCCACTGCGTGTCCTGAGCAGCTAACAGCTGGATAAATAGTCTTGGATGCGGAGGCACAGTCTCTCTCAGGGTTATCCGTCTTACAGTGAGAGTGTGGCGGAAACGGAGGGGTACAGGTACCTCGATGCGTCGTTTGGCCCGATCGTAGCGCTGCTCCTCCTTCGTGCGCCCGTCGTCCGAGTCGCACTCGCTGTCCGTGCCAGAGCTGACATCCCTGCTGGTCCGCCGGTTCCTCACCCTCTTCGCAGGGGGCAGCGGAGTCTCCTTCTCCACAGGGGCTCCCACCTTGCTGCCCTCTTCCTCCTCCTCCTCCTCCTCACTTTCCTCGTCCTCCTCTTCCTCTTCCTCCTCCTCTTCCTCGCTGGCATCCTCCTCCTCATCCTCCTCCTCCTCCTGCTGCTGCTGCTCCTTCACCTCTATGTGGACCTTCTTCATCTCTGCATAAAACAGAGGTGTCAAACTGAAAACTTTGTACACACTTTGAGTTTCTGGGAGCACTCTGACATTCCTCATCCCCCACAGCGTTTCTCCACAGCAGAAGAGTGAAGGCAGCAAAATTTAAGGTCGACGTCAGCTACAACCATCATCAGCCATCTACGTCAAACAGATAGAGTCAAGACTAACCCTTGCACAGCGAATCTGAGCTCCTAACGTTCTTAATCCGAGCTGCTATTAACTTGCTTAATTCAGACAACCAATTGAATATTTTTACATTAATTACGTTTATTTTTTTCTTTCTTATCATAGATGTATTTTTCTTATTTCTTAATAGGTTCATGTACTGTTAAATGTTAAACCATGTACTGTGGTGTGTCTTTTACCTGCTTGCAAAGCAAATACCCATTTGGCACAGTAAAAGGAAGTTTCTTAACAGGAGCAACAGGGCACAGCGGCACAGTGCCTTCAGATATTAAAGGGTGTGCCAATGAATTTGGGAAAAGTCACATGACCAAAGTGTCACACAAGAGACTTCACGGTGCGAGTACATTTTCACGTTTGAAGGACAAACAAAAACAAAGACCATCTGAGAGCGAGCAAGCAAGAGCTTCTTAAACGCTGAAATAAGTTTGTTGTAGGCCGAGTCAAGACAGACTGATATTACAGTTAAAGGTCACTAATTTGTGGAAATGGACACACTGGGTGAATGTTAATTAATGTTAATTAATCGCAAGAGTAAGAAGATGGCTATGTTTGGTTTAAAAAGGACGTTGGGGTGTTTGTAACTGGTGGTGGGTCTTTTGAATGTCAGGTATTTGTGGGTACCACAAGAGCTTCTGCCACAATAAAGACATCTTTCACGTGGCTTCTTCAAGCCAAGTGAATTTGAATGTGCTCAGGCCAGTGAAGTGTGAGTGAGAAACACCAGAAACACTGGTCTACCACATTTTTCCCTTATGATTTAGTATGTTACCAAACATGCCCTAGCGTTTCTTTCAGAAGTGACTGCGAGGAAGACTCACCCTTTTCCTCATCGCTGGCCATGGCTTCCCAGTCATCCAGATCTGCGGTTTCGGTCTTCCGCTCGTTCGCTGGACAGAAAGCACAGGTCTGGCTAAACAGACAGCCTCAAGAACAGATGACTGTGCAGAATTTCGGGAATATCTGGGGTTTAGCTAATTACCTGGGAAGGAGATGCTATTTCCAGGTCAAACTGCAGATCAAACTACAATCAAAAACCCAGGAAGTGCCTGGAGGACATTTCTGGGGCATTCAGATAAAGCCTGAGGTTAGATAAAGTACCCCACTCTCAAGCTGTACATCTCTGTTATAACAAACAGGACATGGCAGGGACTTATCAGAGGCAGCAGCTCATGAAACAAAACAAAACCTTTTGCTAGCACCTTCTGTTCCAGCAAGTCTTTTAGGGCTTTGAGGCTGCTCCCTGCAGGATGTGGCTGGGTCCAGTAAGGGACCAGCAGCCAGGCGCGAGTGTGTGCCGAATGGAGTCCTCACGCGCGCACCACTGACCTCACGCACAAGCAGATTTGGTCACTTTTCAAAAGTTTTCGACTTTGCATTTGAAAACCCCCCAAAAATGTAATTCATTTTAAGTGTTGGTTTCAGATTATGTGTGGCATATAGCTACAGAGATACAGAACAGTGGGGAGCAACTCCTGAGATTTCAGAGTTTTCCGGCCGGAGAGCTGTTGTCGCCTACCTTGCGCCTTTCCATCTCGAGGGAGAGGCTCCGTATCCATCTCGAGGGGGGCCTGCTCTGCTGTCTCTACCTCTAGGGTCGGAGAGGTCGCTTCTGCTGGTTCTAGGAGAAGAAAATACAGAACCACTGGTCGGCCAAAAATATCCAGATAGTATCAGTACCGCCAATGCTAGCACATGAAGAGCACGGCTCAGTGAGATGCAAGCCCAGAAACGGACGAGGACTGAAACAGAAATGTTTCAGCCCATCTCGCCAGTTTGGCTGGAAGAACAGCTCCCCCTTCCAGGAATCTCACCCAACTGCGTCTTGGAAGGACCCTCCAGGAAATGTTGGGCAATTTATTCCCCTCATCTACAACACTACACAAAAAATACAAAACTGCCTGTTGTATTCAGTCACAGTTTCATTCCAGTTTGTTATTCGGTACAGCACCCATCACGATGGATGGCCACAGAGTACAAGTCTCGAGATTTGTCTAACTTTCATGTGGTCATCTGCCCATCTAGCTCTTTGTGTAGCTAGCAGCTATTTGATCTCGGGATCTCAGGATGCCCCCTAGAATTTTCTTAAAAGACGCCATATCATCTCCTCACAGTTCCCTCGTTCAAGACCTGAGTAAGTGTAGTTAACCTACGACTCAAACGAAGGTCCTTGGGACCCCACCCCTGCTGGGGTTCATTCTGAGACTATGGTCTAAAGGGATCCCTTCCATGAACTAATAAGATGGATGGAAACTGTATAAAGTTTCTTCCCACCCCAACTCAAAAGTCTTAGGTTAATCATGAAATGCAATAGCTAAAAAACAGCTTCCAGTCTTCATGCATTAATAAGTTCAGATTGAGCCTATTAGAAGGTCAATTAAGGGTTCATTAGACAAGATGAGCATGTGGTACAATCCCAACACACATTTGTAGGATGAGACTGATTGATACTGTCATCATTGTCATTGTATTCACACGTCATCACGTGCTGGTAAATTTAGCAAAAAAGTTCAACAGCGAGACATAACTGCAGGAACCAACACATGAGGTCAAACTGTTGAGAAGAGCTGAGCCTGGCTAAATCTGACACAGTAATCAACATGTAGTAAATTGTTAGAGCTAACTCTATTTCTTTAGCTGCAATCACAGTCAGAACGTCACATTAGATGGGCTTAGCCATCATTAAATGTTAACCCATCACCTCAGATTTAAATGAAATTGTTAAACAAAATGACACTACTTTCATTTCTGACCCAAATAGGCCTTTCCACTCTTACAAAAAAAAGCCGAAATCTTCACCAGGGGATTTACTCTTGTAATGTGACAACTTCATAAGGAATTAATTTTCCCTTCAGTTGAGCTCTTGTGTGCTGATGCATGACTTACAGCTCTTTGCTGCAGTACATGGCCTTGGCACACAAAGTTAATGCTGAAAATAAGGCATGCAGGTGAGTGCCAGCGATCTAAATAAAGTGGATTATCTTCCTTTATAACAAAGGATTTGAATTCTCTCCATATCAGAGAAACCACTTGTTTTCCTAATGAATGAAGCTACACATTGCTGGTGGTGGAGGGGAGTCCCCATTACCCATTAAAGTGCTTTGAGTGGAGTGTCCAGAAAAGCTCAATGTAAGCGTGAGGATTATTTTTATAAATTGGACAAGGAAAAAGCTTAAATCACGGCAGCCACCTTTCGGGTCTCATTACACCTGAAAAACCCATAATCTCTTAATATTATAATAACTGGCTTGTTTGGAGCGGTTCATGTACTAAGGAGAGGCCAGCTCAGTCACACCTCTGGCAGTAGCGTAAAGCGATTTGGCCCAAACCAGGAAGATTGAAATTCTGCTGTTCTTGAGTTTCCTTCAAACTACAAGCACCCTCCTTATTAAACTGTTCAATAGCTTCTGCAGTCATTTACAGACAATTGTGTCCCTTGCTCCTCCGAATGACATTCCAAAGAGGACATCCTCGATCTCGGCTAGCAGAGCGCTCTGCCATGCCACACTGCCCACGTTGTGACCCTGGGCAGCGACAGCATGCGGCCAGTCCTGCCCTCCCATTCAATCAGCATGCAGTTTAATTCCCCGATTCACACCTCTCAATTCATTCACTACACTGCGGCAGATGAGCAACTGTAGACTAAAATTCCAGATAACCAAAAGATATCTATTCCATGCAGATGAGAAACACAATCATTAGGTTTTATCGGTTAATGACTGAAGAAGTACCTGCAGCAATCAGAACTAGGTGATCCCTTCTCTGGTGCACACCACATTAAGCACACACAGGACAAGCCTCACAAGGAGACAGTAATATCACTATATTTTCATCCTTCCATTGTTTTACCTTAGAAAAAAAAAGTTCAATGGTGTCTGCATGTAATGGGTGTTTTTTTATTGGAAGGAGGTTGTAAGTAATGTTAAACCTTTTTTTAACAAGATGGTCTATGTGGTTCACTGCATTTGGAACTAAATTAATTAACTAAAAACATAATACTAAAGCTGCAGGCATGAGGACCGAAAAACTCACTGGCTAGGCTACTAGACTAGGCTACTAAATAAACAAACTTTTCTACTTATACTTTATTCTTTATGTAAAAACCTACATTTCAAAAGCACACCTAGCATGTAGATTGCCTAGGAAAGTAACTGTACCTCTTAAAATATATGTGGTAAAATAATGTAAATGATAAACAAAAGTCAAGCCACAGAAAGTCTACAACCACAGAGGAAGGCAAAATGAATCTAGGAGTCCACACTATTAAAAAAAAACACACCCTCTTATAAAACAAACTAAGGTGCTAAGGAGAAAACAGCACTTGAGCGAATGCTCTTGTTCCCAGAGATCTGCAAAAATAGGCTGGAAATAGAAATCTGTTCTTCGTGTCAAGGGACTGCCAGTATATTTGAACTCCCTCGCCACATGGTCTAGATGTTTAGCATACGTACTCCTTCCCCCCGTCAGAAGAACTACACAGTGACCCTTGCAGTAGAAGAAAAGTTTGCTCTGCAGGGAGAGTAGACAGAAGATGGCCAGGAGAAGTGTGCCCGTTTTGGAGCTGGTCACCCTCTGACAGGAAGCCAGTGTTGGGCAATGGCACAGGAGATCGAAGAGCGGGTCTTTACCATCTTGAGTCTGCGGCGATGGCTTCTTCTTCTTCTTGTCCGCGTACACAGGCTTCTTCTTTGGCACGGAGTCTTTGGATGGCACTTCAACACCTGCAACACAACAGCACAAATTCAGGCTGGGAGGCACCCCACTGCACAAGCTGTAATGTTACAGCAATGAGCAATGAGAAAGTAATGAGATTCTAAAGCTAAAAAAAAGACATTCTTATCTAATCTAACTTCTACTGAGCAGAAGAAAGAGCTGTTTTTCATTTGGCTTTCTTGTTTGAAAAACATCTACAGTACATGAGCGCAAAAGGATCAAATTTACAATATCGATAAGACCCTGTTGGGCCATGTCTGGCAAAAGATAAACTACTGTAATGTGAACTTCAGTTGTAAATTCAGTTGTTCATTTTATAATTTAAATTAAACTGAAACAAGTACTAGAAATCCACAAAGGCACTTTTCACAGAATAAACAGTGGAACACACAACTGAGGGCACACATGGAAACAATGTGAAAGTGCACATTTAAACTAAAACAAGAGACACTCTTTACATAAAGGGTGGAGGGAGTGTGGAACAAGATGCCCTGTTGAACCCAATTCTCAGATTTCATTTAACTGGATTAATTAAATCCTTGGATCAATGAAACACCAAATAAGCAACTACTGTAACTACATATCCAAGGCAGAGATTCACTGGACAGGTATTCCTTAACGGAATCAGGTATTGTTCAAGAAATATCCTTTATTCCTTGGAAAACAAGAGCTATTCATAACTAGTTTCCATCGACAGAACTTATCTTAATGCTCCTAACTACTTGCATGTACAGTAAATGAAGCTTATTAAATTGCTAAGAGAAACTAAAACTTCATCTAGCTGAAATCTGAAACTGAGCCACCAGAAGCATTTTCTGTTCTCCATCCCATCTGACTCCATGTCCTTGTCTTGCTGCTGAATGCAAAATCTCCTCTCCATCTCCCTTATTCTAGACTGAAGAGATTTAGATCTCTTAACCTGTAACTAGATGGCAAATTCACTGAGACCAGAAATCACTCCTGTGGTTCATCTTTAAACTCTTGCTGAGGCTAGCATACACTTTTCTGTGGTTTGGTGCCCAGAGCTGAACAGGGCATTCTGAGTGAAGTCTCACGGGGGCTGAGTGAAGGGCAGATCTTGAGCAGAATTTAACCTCTGCACTTCTTCCTTGCTTCTTCTCCCCAGTCTCTACCCACCTTGCGCCTGGAGAGCTCTCAGGGTGGCCTCTGCTCTGGCACGGGCCTCCCTCTGGGCTTTGGTCAGGAGCTTGCCCTCCTTCTTCAAGCGCTCCTTCCTCTCCTTCTCCTTCTGCTTCTTCTTCTCCTTGCGCTCCTGTTCCAGCCTCTCCTACGTGGGGCGAGAAAGGGGCGCGCTCGTTGTTAATCCGAATCCCCCGTGCACCTCCAGGACAGAGGAGAGACGGACCACAGGACCTGCTCGGGGGAATCCCATCCATTAACACCACTGCACGTTTTGCACTGAAACTCACAGCCCCCACGACAGTGTGTCTCATGGAGAGCAAGCTGGGGTATGCGAAAAGATTAATTCCTAATGCAAGAAATTGTATAGGGCTCATAAAGTGATTTTATGAGTGAGGTGACGCCATGCTACTGGACAAACACCCTAAAACAGCAGAAGAAAACCAGCCTGCAACCAGACCACACTGAGAAAAGTTCTTATGGCCACTGCAGAAACCCAACCCTTCCCAGCTCATGTGTTAAGCCTTGTTTTGTACAATTTTATAGACATGACAATGTGTTTCATGCTGTCTCTTTCCCGGGTTTGCTACAGTGAATCCAAGATGCTGCAAAGCACAGAACATGCCATAACTGGTGTAAAAATCATTTCAAATATTTCTGTCCCCTCCATCCTTCTCCTGTCCGGATTTAAAAATTAGTGCAGCGCCAGTTTGTCTGGTAGATGAACCCCAACATCTCTGAACTCCACATACGAGGCTCGTTATACATGGAGCTATGCTGCAGGACAGACACTCTAAAACAAATGAAGAAAACCAGCCCACAGAACAAACTCACTGAGTGCGTTGCTATACACTATACATTAGTGACCTACATTTTGACTTATTTGAGGTTATATTTCTGGTTGAGCAACCGGACTGCACTCAAAAACGGGTCATCACGGGAAAGCCAAGCCCTGCCTCAGACAAAGCTAACCAAATGAAGAAGACGGGCTGAGTGGTCTCCTTCCATCTTCCATCTCTTCTTCTGAAGAGTTGAATCCAGAGGTGGCACTGCTTTCAGATTTTATAGCTGTGAAATCTGGCCAGCAGAGTAATACTCTGAAGATGAATGGCAGGCGGCACAAATAGAAAAGCCACCCACTGCACATGACGTGCCCATGTGAGCCCAAGAGTTGATAGCAAATAATTAAAAGGCTCAAAGAATTATTTAATAATGGACCTTTACTTCAGTAGTATGGTGGATTAAACAAAAGCCTTTTGGCCATATCTCAGTCAAGTTTGAGATGCAAAAGAGAAAACTAAAGGGCACAAAAATAATTTCAATTGCCTTTACCACCTTTACAGTTTCTCAGGGGAGAACACAGTTTAACTCGGAATCATCTTTACTTAATGAAGCCCCTTTCGTGCGGGTTCAGGGTGCTTCAATTAACTGAACTGATGCAGAAAGTTCATATCAAGGTCATTTTTTTTATTGTCTCTTCCTTTTTTGGGGGTTCAGTGATTATCTTCATGGACAACTGCTAAGCTCTGTTCCACAGCCTACAAAATATACTTTACTGTGCGAGTCCTAAAAGTATTGGTTTTCTGTTGCACTTGAATTTGCTGTAGCTATTAGAGATGGCCCTGAAATGAGTGCTCGGTATGGCACTATATACTAGCGAGCTACTGTCATTAGCCAATTATTGACTAATGATCAGCGCCACATTCAAACGCGTCTGCGGTGACGCACAATTCAGAATGTCCACAGCGTCCGTGTTGTCAACACGCCTCATTAGCGCGGACAGCTCAGTCGACGCTGGACCAGTTGGCGATCAGACGGACAAGTCGGACGCTGCCTTAAACATTTTAAAGTCTACAAATTAGCCGTTTGGATTTTTTAAAACTGCTAGTTATTACTCTTCAGAAAAGGGTAGGTTGACGTTTTATTTTATTCGGGGCTAGTTTTGGAACACGGGAGAAAAACAGCGCAAAGTTAACCAGTTACTGAGATCCGATCGAAAGACAATGATAGCTTAACAGTCCTGTGTTTTATTGAAATATTTCGACACCTAAAGTCAAACAACGAGACGGGAAAAAGAGTTGCGGTGCTTTGCGACACGTGTGACTGAAAACAAGAGACACTGCGATCGGCGCTCAGACCCCCGCTCGCCCATTCCGGCTTCGTCTCTGCTGGATTTAGTTGTTTTTTTCCCCCCAACTTTATTTTGATCATATTAATATTAATATATAAATATAAAGATGCCTGAAACTGGTTTCATCTCCCATTTTCTTGTTGTATTCCGCTTGACCGACTCCATTTGGTTGCCATGACTACGGTTACCCTGCCGTGACGTCATAAAACAGCACGGACGTGTTTACGTTTACTTCAACATCTCCGATACACTTTCACTAATCAAATTAAGAGTTATTAGCATTTTATTACCCGGATTTTAAATTATGGTGATAAAAAAGTAAAAGAGATTAAGAGCACATTACTGTCGATTTGTGGACGTGGGGTCTTTTATCACGACGAAATACAAGAGCTACACATGTGAGCAGTGACCTGGATCAGTTAGCAGAGCTCTGACACTGGCAGGCCTGCTGTTTCCCTGTGCAGAGTAGTGTGATAATGTGACGCTCGCACACTTGCTCAATGTCATGATGGACTTGTCCCTCTTTTTAGGTACCAGGATGTTTGACACAATTGGAAGCTATGAGTCTGGTAAGTATGCAGGCGTCATGACAGTCAGTAACTACAGTATTCGGAACTGCATTCTGTTACAGCTCTGACTGGGGATACTCCTTGTCTACAGCAGCTTTTTTCTACTAACAGTTCAAGTACCAAAAGAAGGGAAATAATAACAATGAGAAGTGTCATTGAACAACCATCATTCTTCAAAGAACATTTATCTTGGACTCAGCTCCAAGGAGGATCCCAGCTGTTGGATTTACTGGCAAAGAAAAAGAGTTGAAGCTGATTAAAGCCATATTTCAGCAGTTGTAATTGCAGGAAATCTTGTGTGTCTCTCTTTGCAGTGATCTTCACTATTCATAGTGGAAGTGAAGACAGCGAGGAGGACTCCGACTGCGAGTAAGCTCCTCTCCTCTGTGTGTCAGTCTGGGCTGGCCAAAGACAGCAGCAACGATACTATACCGCTTGTTTTGTTTATCATGGAAGTTTCTCATTCTAGCATTAAGTTGTCGTGTGTTTTTACAGTCACTTAAAGTGCTGAACCAAGTACTAGAAGTGGCGGTGAAGGTGGATTTAGAATGTGCTGAAACCTAAAACAATGATTTCTACATGACCAGGTTCCAGATGACCAGGGAACTCTCTTTTGAAGAGTTCTGCACCACTGTGGAGAGATCAGGAAGAAGCTGGGAAGAAACCCATGCGTATATGTGTGACTACTATAAGAAACTGGTGAGTACACCATACAGGACACTTCATACATAAACTACAGGATTTACAGTGGTGTGAAAAAGTATGTACACCCAATGAAAAGGCTTGTCTTTTTTTACATTTTTGGACAAAAGGATATTTGATCATCATTTTAACAATACTTATAAAAGTGATCTTATTTTTTTTAAAATAACATTGAGAAATCCCATTCTGCACTCATTTGTACTATTTAAATAAACAGAAATGCAATTTCCTTGTGTGGATAAAGTCAGTACACCCCTACCTTTACCATTGCATCAAATGCCTCAAATTAGAATCAGGTGCACCAAAACAGGTGCAAATGATTAGAACATCAATAGAGAGTAGCGTGGAGCGCACTGCCTTCTATAAACATCAGAAAGCTGTGGTCTGGTTGGGTCTCAGCAATTTAGGTGTGTGGCTACGTCATGCCAAGATCAAAAGAGCCGTCTGAGGCCCTCAGAAGAAAGACTGTTGATGACTATGATGAGTCTGGGAAGGGTTTTAAAGCCATTTCCAGCAATTTGTAGTCAATCACTCCCGCTGTCAGAAAGATCATCTACAAATGGAGAAAATTTCAAACCACTGGCAATCTATCCAGGCCAGGTTGTCTCACCAAATTCAGTCCAAGAGCTGACCGAAAGACGCTGCAAGACGTCTCCAAGAACACCAGGATAACATCAAGGGATTTGCAGGCTTGCCTCAGTCAATGTCAAAGAGATTGAGTCAACCATCCGGAAGAGACTGCACAACTTTGCCCTACATGCGAGGTCAGGAAGGAAGAAGTCTCTGCTCTCAAAAAAGAATATAGATGCATGACTGATGTCTGCCAGACAACACCTAGGTGAAGATCAGGACGATTGGAACAATGTGCTCTGGACCGATGAGACGAAGGTAGAGCTGTTTGGCCACAATGCCAGACGTCATGTTTGGTGAAAACCAAAAATTGCCTTTGACCAAACGAACCTCAAACCAGCTGTAAAGCATGGTGGTGGAAGCATTATGGTTTGGGGCTGCTTTTCTGCCTCAGGGTCTGGCCAGCTTTTCATCATAGTCAACAAGGAATTCCACACTGTACCAGAGAGTACTTGAGGAGAATGTGAGGCCATCTATCAAAAACTGAAACGGAACCGTAAGTGGACCTTGCAACAAGACAATTACCCAAAACACTCAAGCAAATCCAAAAAAGAATGGAGGAAAGAAGAATTAAAAATGGAATTACAGACACAGCTGTTTGATCATAAATGAAAAATGAGGTAATCTATTCACAGTTCTAACTTGTTTTTTTTTCCCCCAAACAGAGCAACAGGAGAGACAGCTTGACTGCAGACATTCTGGACACCGAACGAAAGGTATGACCTGCACCTGTGGTAACTTGTAATATAGAACATCTTGACATTTTAAAAAATAAACAATGTTTTGCTTCTTTCCACCACCTATTCTGGTCCTACCTTTCACAGCGAGGACACCTGTGAAGCCAAGCTGATTAACGACTGCAAACTCCAAATATGGGAGATTCTTTTTCCTTTGTCCACTCTCTCTTCCAGTTTTATGCCATCCAGATCTCGTGGTATCGCAAATAAATTGAAGTGGCAGATTTTAACACATCGCTTGGTGTTCCTTTTATAGATAAGAAAGAGAACTGAAGAAAGGAAGCACCTGGACACAATCAGAGACCAAATTTTGGCCACAGTGAGGTACATAGAGGTGAGTGTTTTCACCTTTGTTGATTTAATGGGAGAGAGTAAATTCCATCTTCTTACTGGCTGGAAAGGCTGCACAACTTCTATATGTTAGTTTATGTTCCCTCACAATGAAAAATATTTTTTTCTTCTACCATGCTACTGTCTGTAGCTGTTAGTCACATCAGATGAACCACATCTTATGATGCATCATGCCTCATAAAAATGTTATTCTACAAGTATCTGCAATACGTAAATTGAGATAAACAGTTTGTAGATTTAAATTTAAGAATAGCTTGGGTAGTTTTGTAAATAATTACTGCCTTTATCCCTCAGCGGAAAGCTTTCCTCACATGGAAAGCAACAGAGGACAGGCTGAAGGCCTTCAAACAGGTATGTGTTCTCTTCTGCTCGCTCTCCTCCGAGAAACTGGGATTGTGCACAAACCTCTTGTTCAGAAGCCTCACGCAGACCAGACACAGATATTCAGAATCGGGATTGTGGGCAAGTTTTCAAGTTTGTATAATACATGTTTTGCTAAAAAGCAGCTCTAGAAGAGCAGTAACATGAGAAGGGACAATTTGACCTTTATTGCCATCATCCGGTTCCGGTTCTGGTCCAGTAGCCAGTACTGGTAAGACCTCCCCTTCTCGATTATTTCAGGTGACATTTGAATTCACATCCTGAAGAATTTTCACATGAAAATTATGAAAAGCATTTTAACTAAGAAAATACAACAAAGCTTAATCATTTTGCTCCCTGGCTGAGGGCAACATCCTCTGAAAATTACGAATATGCACATCCAGTCACTCCAGTAATTTCAATCAGCACCTTTTTGGGGACCCACTGACCAAACAAAAACTTTCCAAGAAGGGTTAAACATCCAGATTTCAAGCTCTTCTTCCAGTACAGAAGACCAACTACCTTAGAGATGTGTTAGAGCTCTTGAGTGGCTCCTTTTTTCCACTCTTAGTTTAAAACATATCACCAATTATCCATGAATGGTAGTACTTTAGGGAAGGAGAGTATTGGCAGGTTTGCACTGGATCTGATGGGATCATTTTTCTTGAAACAGAAACTACAGTATAAACAGCTGCTGTTGACCAACCTGAATGAGGCAGTGGAGAGAAACAAGGTAAGTAAAATTCAAAACCCCTTTTGAAAAGTCAACGATTGTCTTTCATCCCCAGATGTAACGAGTGTCAAGTTTAAGCTCGTTTGAAGACTAGGGTAACAGCAATGAAAACCTAAAGACAGAGCGCAGCTGACTTCAACAGCTTGTCAGTCTCTTTGTCAGCAGCAAAGGATTTCTCACTTTTTCCCTCTTTTTCCTTCACAGGAGCTCCAGGCCCAAGTAGAAGCTCTGCACAAAAAAATCTATTTGAAACTGAAGAGGATCTACTGTGGCCACCGCACAAACCAAACCCTTCCTAGCTAATGTGTGGAGCCTTGTTTTATACATGTGTAAATACATTTTATAGACATTATCATGTGTCTCATGCCATCTCTACACCAGGCTTGCTACAGTGTATCCAAACTACAGCACAGCACACAACATGCCATCACTGGTGTAAAAATCATTTCAAATATTTCTGCCCCCTCCTTTCTTGTCTTTGCCTTTTTATAACAAGAATACCCTGTAAAAACAATTTTATAGAAAGCTTAGACTTTTTATCGCTCTATGCCACCAATATGGAATCCCCAATTACGGTTTTTGCTCTGCCTGTCCGAATTGGGGGGTGTCATTGCGATTGTGTGACTAGCTATCCAAGCGTTCCTTCCAGCAACGGGTTTTGAGACGCCTTCAATCAGAAGGCTGCTGGTCCTGCTAACCGGCCATGAAGCACACAGCCCCACACGCCGCGGTGTTCAGAAAAGCCGGCCCACCCACCTGCTCCAGCCTCTGCGCCTCCATCTCCTCCAGGCGTCGGAGGCGCTCCTCTTCCTCCTGCCTGGCGCGCTCCTCCTCCTCCTTCATCCGGGCCAGTGCCTCCTGCATGGCCCTGACCGTGGCCTTGCTGGGACCCTTCTTCTTCTCCTTTTCCTTCTCCTCCTTCTCGCCCTTCTTCTTCTTGTCCTTCTTCTTCTTCTTGTCGCCCTCGCCCTCCTCTGCAACAGCACAGCAAGCAGAGGGGCGTTAACGAGCAGCTGTGCCCAGCGGCCCAGCCCTGGTAACCCCGGTGCGCACATTCTGAACCCCCTTCTGCCAGATATCTAAGCAGGACTGTGCCCAGTACCGTGAAATTAGCACTGAGCTTTCTTGCTTGTGAGGTTATCCATTTCTTTTTTTTTTTTAACTTTTACGAAACAGAACCAAAACAGCAGAATAAACATTTGCCTTCATCTTTTTTCATTTTTGTTACATTGTATAAATAAAATGAACTATTTACATTATGCCAGCAGGTATGGAGGGCCATACACCCAAAAAAATACAATTGTTTGATAAGAAACACAACACACAAAAAAGTCCACACATAGATATCACTGCATATTTTCTCGTAATCTAAAATCAGGTCCCTGTAGGGAGATACATTTAATCCATGTTTCCCAGTATTTGTTAAACCTCTCTGCCGGCAATCTGAGAGAAAGTTATCTTTTCCATTATATAGATCTCATTCACAACATTAACCCATTGTTCACGTGTTGGAGGTTCTTTTATAAGCCGAGGTTATCCATTTCATTTCTGATTTCACATCTTCAATGAACAACGCGTGGAGACAAATATGATGAACGCTTCGATCCCTGTTATTCGTCCTACAATGTTTCGCACCTCTGTGAATTCTTTTTAGAATAGAAAGCATCAGGGAAAGTACAGCAGGCAACACAAGCTGAGAAGTGAAAAAAAAAACACGGCACCAAGGGCTGAATTCAGGTCAGGAGTACACAAGTCAAAACTGGGCATCTGCAAGAGCCCGAGGATATATCAGGAGCAGAGAATCCCCAATTCTGGTTTCTGAGAGTCAAACATTCTTTAGGGAGTCAAACACAACATATTTTACTTTTGTAATTACTTGAATTTCCCATATGGGATTCATAAATTATCTACCTACTTTTTGTAACCATTTTAAAGTGTTTCACCTCATTTACACACTGGAAAATACATTGCTATCTTTTGTTTTTATAATGGCTTAATCCGTGATTAAATGGATAATTTTGCCCTTCTTCCTGTGCGAAAGAGCTGAGTTATGACTATAACTGGTGACTATTCCTGGTGAAGTGATCGATGTGTCACGCCTCTCCCTGACGGAAACACATCACAACTCCCTCTCCTGCACTGCAACTCCGGACCTCCAGGGCCTGAATGCAGAAGGCTTACAGAGTCTCTGACAAGTGTCAAACTGGTCCAGTTAAGCGAACAATCCGATCAACTGGGCCATGTAGAACAGAGGCGGAATGAAAGCCTGAAACCGGGAGACTACAGCCCCTTCAGAAGGGAAGACGTACACTACTGTCCAAGAGGACAAGAATAGAGACGAAGGGAGACTCACCCTCTTTAGCATCGCCGCCCTCCTTCTCCTCAGACACGGCGCTCTCCAGCTTTTTGGGCTCTGAGCTGGGAGCCGGCGCCGCCGGGACGGGAGCCTTCTTGGCCCCCTCTGTGCTCTTCTCCTTGTCCTCATCCTTCTCCTTCAGCTTCCTCAGCCGGGCCTTCTCCTCCTCCTTCTTCTTGCGCTCTCGCTCCTTCTTCTCCGCCTTCTTCTGCGCCGCCGTCTTCAGCTTGAAGGAGCCGTCCTCCTCTTCCTCGTCCTCCTCCTCCCCGCCGCTGTCGGCCCTGCCCGCTTTAGCCCTCTGGCTTTTCTGCTGGGCCTTCCTGCTGCCCCGGGAGCGCTCTTCCGAATCCTCGTCGCTGTCGCCCGCAGGATCAGCTGCCCGGCTCTTCGCACCTCCATCCTCATCGTCCGACTCCGAGGGGGGAGCCTTCCTGGCCCCCTTTTTTGCCCCTCGGCCTTTCTTGCCCGGCCTGAGGTCATCACCTTCAGAGTCAGAAGCAGCAGGCGGAGCAGCCGGCTCCGATGTCTTCTGGGGTTTCTGGACGCCGTTCTCCACGTCATCTTCAACCTGCCCCTCGTCCTCATCCTCATCCAAGCTGGCCTTCTTGTTCCCCTTGCGGGTTTTCTTCTTTTCGGCCTTGGTGGGGCCAGGCTCGGCTGCCTCCTCAGCGCCTTCGGCTTTCTGAATCAACATCGGGGCAGAGAGGCGAGAGAAGGCAAGGGTTACCGACTCGTGCATTTCTACGTGCAGAGGAAACGCCGCCAGATGCCGAAGGATATGGTACAGTAGCTCAAAAGGCAACAGTCCTTTACGATCGCTAGAAACCCCAGAATAAGCTAACCACAGATAGCTCTAGTCAGAATCATGCCTTGGAAGGCTGCCCTACAGTTCATCCATGATGGCAGATGCCCTTTATGGGCATGTTTACTAAAACATGCTTCCAGAAGCCACATTAACTACTCCCTAAAAGACTAGAATATTTGGGCTATGTTTATTTTCAGTGGTTTAACCAATATAACAGCACTATACTAATCTCTTTAAATTATTTGAATGCTGTTCTATTCTAACTATTGGAAATCTGTTGCTTTACGTGCACGCGCAATCAAATCTGTTAACATCATTGTCACCAGGACCAATGGAGACATTTGCAGGACAAATGTGGTTCTTTTCAATTTGTCCACACCACACAAAATACTAAAGAGAGTACCTTGTTAGATTTTGCTCCTTGGTTTTCTAGGCTGAGCTCCTCTAGTTCCTTAAGGATATCATCCTCACTGAAAGGCAAGCAAAGAAGAAAAAAATATCAGCAAGTAGACATATTACAAAAAAATTAATAGGTCATGAGTTTTCAAAATAACGGAGCAGAGACCATCCTTGTCTGCATTTTCTTAATCAGATGCTAAATGCGAATGTGCCACAGTCTAGATTGCAATAACAATAATCCCTCAGATGGTAGCAAACAAATGTTTCACAACAGGATGAGCTACAGGTAAGAAGGGCAGGTTGTTTGTAATACAATGCTGCCGGTGAGCCTGGATATTGTGTAACTGGAACTGTGCTTATTTTCTAAAACCTCTTTATGTTCTCTCTTGTTCTTCACAACATTAGGAACCACTTCCTCTCTTCAAATTGAGCCAGTCTATACAGATACAATGCCAGTGTCCCAGAACTGATCCCTGATTTTGCCTGATCTTTCTGGCTAAGGCTAATATTCAAAGCCCCTGCCCTCAATGTGGGGAGTGGGGGTCCCCTCAGGGAGACCTACTCGAAATCCTGAGTCTTCTTGTTCTTCTTCTTTTTGCCCTTGCCCTTGGCGGCGTCCTGCTCCTTGG